GTGGGTGGTGGTGTCATAATCTCTTTGAGTCCCCTAGCCATTCAGGTGACATCTTCAATGTTTTGTAAATGGAGTGACATGAATTGATAGCTTCTCTGGGAACACTGTTGAATCCCGACCACAGGAGGTTTGTCAGAGTTACCTATAAGGAAAAGCTGCTCACAGCTGCCCTGTACTGAGGCAGGCAGGCTTTGTTTTGAAGCGTACAATTTCCAAGTCAGAATAGCAGGGAACTAAATCCTTGAGTTCAGTGATGTGCAATCCTCCCTCGCACCCCAGCCATATCCCAGTGCTGTTACTGAGAACCCATCCAGAAGCCAGTGGTGGTTCTGCTGCAGATCCTGGCAAACTTGCTCAGCAATGGCCATTACACTGTCCAGTTACCTTATTCTCTGATTCAGGAATTGTTTAGAGTGCTAACATCTACTGAGGCAATCAAATGGAGCCAAAGAAAAAGCTGCATAGGGAGAACACGATTTTATTATGCACAACCCAAAGATGCTCTGTATTGTCATGCAGCCCCAGTCCTGCTGGTTTCCAACCCTGTTTGCCCCCTTATCATCATATATGTGAGCTCAAGCCTCTCTGGATCCTTTTCCTCACCCAGCTGAGAGTAGCTCCTGTTTTCAGACTGGCTGAGTGTGGTATGTGCCTGTGCTGAATGCTGGCTGGGACAGATCTGCACCCCAAGGCAAGGTGATTTCAGGTGGTTTTTAACCTTTCTTTCAGACCCATTTATTCAGCAGCCTCACAGAGGTTGCTGTACCAGGCTGAATTTGTGCATCAAAGCACCTGGTCTGTATTTGCAGGCTTCATGGAACTGGCATGGTGGGCAACAGCAGCCCTGGCCACAAGCACCCAGCAAGCACCACCTTCAACAGCCCTTGGCTGAGTTTTAAGCAATAACTGCTTCCCCATGCCTCGTTCCTCATGTGGACATGGTTATTGTAGCTTCACATGCCAGTAAGCAAAACCCTTGTGTCAGGGTGAAAACTGAAACAGGATGATGGAAGAAAGGTCAGGAGGCCCAGGCTAGTGGAGATGTCTGATGGCTTAAATTCACCTGTGGCTCAACACCATGTGGTGAGTCACCCTCAGTTGGAACCTGTGCTTTTTAAAGTGCTGATTATTGCTGAGCAAAGCACCCCAAAAATGGCAGAGCCAGACACAGGATAAAGAAAAAACAATTCTTTTAACTGGTGCAGGGTGATGCCACATCCCCAACCTAGCGGCTGGGGAAGAGCAAGCTTAGTGGCTATGGAATCTAAGGAATGATGTGACCATGTCCAGGTGGAAGGGAAGCCTGTAGTCGCCATAAGTGCAATCAGGAGGGAGAGAGGTATGTGTTCGGCGTACTCATCAAGAAAGGGCGTTGGACTGGCAGGAGAACCCAGGAAGTGTGGGTTAGATGCACAGTTCTTGGTTTCTTCTGTGTGATTCTCTTGCAGTCAGGTATCCAACACTGAATGGCAACTATCTGGACTCTAAAATCCTAGTGTCTGTGAAATCCCAATAGGGGAAGCTCTCAACCATTACGGAGATAGGACCAAAGCCATCCTGCCAGTGATGGGTAGTTGCGCTCCAGTCTCCTGGCTCACAGTCATCACCTTCTCATGCTGCTCATTTCTGCCCACAGACCAACCCAGCTGGCCCCATGGCAGGTGAGAACCAGACTCAAATGACAGAGTTCGTGCTCCTGGGCTTTTCCCACGGCCAGCCCTTCTTCTTTGTTCTTTTTCTGGCTCTTTACCTGGCCACGCTGCTGGGCAACTCAGCAATACCCACTCTTGTGTCCCTGGATCCCCATCTCCACAGCCCCATGTACTTCTTCCTCAGTCACCTGTCCTGCTTGGACATTTGCTACTCATCAGTGACGGTGCCCAAGATCCTGGCAAATGCCCTGCACCTGCAGGCAACCATCTCCTACCGCGGATGCCTGGCACAGATGTTCTTCCTGATGGGGTGCGCGGGGGCTGAGTGTGCACTCCTGGCTGTCATGGCCTATGATCGATATGCAGCCATATGCCAGCCCCTGTGCTACACCCATGCCATGAGCCCAGGTGTCTGTGTGGTGGCAGCTGTCAGCTGCTGGCTCTGGGGGATGCTGAACTCGGCTGTGCACACTATCCTGGCCTCCAGGCTCTCCTGCGGGGCTGTCCGGCTCCAGCACATCTTCTGTGACGTCCCCCCACTGCTGAGTGCTGCGTGCAGCAACACCCGCCCCAGCCAAGTGGCACTCCACGCTTCCAGTGTCTTTGTAGGCCTCAGCCCCTTCCTGCTTGTTGTCATCTCCTACCTCCACATCCTGGCCACCATATTCAGGATGCCTATGGCTACCAGCAGGCGCAGCCGGTGCAAGGCCTTCTCCACGTGCTCTGCCTATCTGCTTGTGGTTGCCCTGTACTTTATGATGGCCAACCTCAACTACAACCAGCCCAGCTCTGGCTACTCCACAGCAGCTGACACACTGGTCTCTGCACTGTACTGCATCATCACCCCCATGCTAAACCCCCTCATCTACAGTCTCTGCAACCAGGAGGTGCTGAGGGCCCTGCGGAAGGCTGTATGGGACAGGGCATGCCAGGGTCCCCAGGCAGCAATGCATGAGCAATACCAAGGCTGCAACAGAGTGCTGGTGTGGCACTGGTGCAGTATCATCCATCTGTAGGAAATCTTTGATGGCAGCTGTGGGATCAGGGCTCCCAGTCCAGGCAGTGGCTGCTTGTGGCACACTGCCATCACTTGTCTGACCCTCAGCACATCACTGATGGCAGAATCTCAAAATCAAGTGGGGAACAAGGCTACAGTTCCAGGATTATGGCTTTATTTTGCAAGTGCCATGTGCTGAGCTCAGCACAGGGCCCGTTGCAGCTATGGCAAGTTTATGTGGCACCAGACACATGCTGGCCCTGAGTAAGGTCTGCCTTGGGGCTGCCCAAGGTGCTGAGCCAGACCCTACATGGGACAAGCGGCAGTGTCTTGGATTGCAAAATCTGGCCTCTGCAACATGGCTGTCACACCATCCTCCTTCCACACATGCTTTGACACTGAGTCTGATGTCTGCTGGGTTTCTCCAGACTGCCATGAAAGCTCTGTAGAATTTCATACATTAGCACAGCAGCCAGCAGTTTAAGCAGGCCACCAGTTATTCTCACTGTTTTGGTCAAACACCAAGTTATCAGCACTGAGCTGTGAGCAGGCATTGCTTAAAGCCTCACCAGAAATTACTGATTTGCTCTCCAGCCATAAAAATATAAAAATGCAGTTGTTGTGAGTGGTGTGGCTGTGGATAACAGTGGCTAAGGGCTGGCAGGTGGCGTGGGGCAGCCAGCTTCAGCCACTTCTCTTTAATATCTTTATCCATGAGTGCACCCTCAGTAAGTTTGCAGATGACACCAAGTTGGGCAGCAGTGTTGATCTGCCTGAGTGTAGGAAGGCTCTACAGAGGGATCTGGACAGGCTGCATCGATGGGCCGAGGCCACTGTATGAGTTTCAACAAGGCTCAGTGCTGGGTCCTGCACTTGGGTCACAACAACCCCATGCAACACCACAGGCTTGGGGAGGAGTGACTGGAAAGCTGCCCCGGCGGAAAAGGACCTGGGGGTATTGGTCGACAGCCGGCTGACTTTTGGCCAAGGCAGCCAACAGCATCCCGGCTTGTATCAGAAATATTGTGGCCAGCAGGACTAGGGCAGTGATCGTCCCCCTGTACTTGGCACTGGTGAGGCCACACCTCAAGTACTGTGTTCGGTTTTGGGCCCCTCACTACGAGAAAGACATTGAGTTGCTGGAGCATGGCCAAAGAAGAGCAACGAAGCCAATGAAGGCTCTAGAGAATAAGTCTGATGAGGAGTGGCAGAGGAAACTGGGGTTGTTTAGCCTGGAGAAAAGGAGGTCGAGGGGAGACCTCATCACTCTCTACAAGTACCTGAAAGGAGGTTGTAGTGAGGAGGGGTGTTGGTCTCTTCTCCCAAATAACAAATGATGGGACGAGAGGAAATGGCCTCAAGTTGTGCCAGGGGAGGTTTAGATTGGATATTAGGGAAAATTTCTTCACTGAAAGGGTTATCAAGCATTGGAACAGGCTGCCCAGGGAAGTGGTGGAGTCACCATTCCTGGAGGTATTTAAAAGACACATAGATGTGGTGCTTAGGAACATGGTTTAGTGGTGGACTTGGCAGTGCTAGGTTAGTGGTTGGACTTGATGATCTTAAAGGTCTCTTCCAAAATAAATGATTCTATGATTCTATGCTACTGCAGCTTCTCAGATGCTGTGCTACTCAGCATGTCTCCGATTTATTCCTATTGTGATGGTACTTGCATACCACAAAGGATCAGCAACCAACTCCTACAGTGGCATGTTGAGCATGTAGTCTGGAATATACTGGTTCAAGGGAGGGTTTCAGTTTGCATTGGATTACTACTGAAAACTTCTTTAAACAGTAAAATAATTTCCTCTTGTCCTGCTTCCCAGCTGCTCAGCCTTTTCCCCACATCTGTGATGAAGGAGGGCTAGAATGGAGGCCCCTTATCATTGTGCAAAGAACCAAGCCTACCACAGACACAGGGGAGGTGCTGCCACAGAATAACTGAGATGCAATTTTAGTAAGCCAGAACAGAAACAGTTTATTACTACAGCTATGAGGGAGAGCACAGCACAGCAGAATGACAGACACTGCCAATATGAACTCTACCCAAATGGGACAGTTATAGAGGTTATATACCTTTAGGTTATGCAACTCATTCTTCACCTGTGTCACATAAGCAGGATATTGTAAATAATAATAGCATTCTTCAGATATAGCATTCTTCAATAGCATTCTTCAGATTCTAGCCAGAACACCCTTCAACAAATAAATCACATCTTTATTAATTAAACTGGTGAGACCATTACCTGTGAATATGTCTTAACTAGTGAGTCCTGCAAATGCCTATGAGTCGTTAACTATTTCACTGCCACACTGGGGACGCCTGACTTCAGCACAGAGACTCAAACCACCCAACAGCAGTGAGAACAGGCTGAGCCAAATACTGGATGGGGGAACCTACCTTTAGCACTGACTGCAAAGCACGCTGGAGCCCTTAGGCTAGTGACAAGTTGTGGGACTGTTCTTCCCACCCCATCTGCATGTGTATGCTTATTTATACTGTCAGAGCAGCTAACAGGAAAAATGGAGTGCTCTCAAAAATATTGTACTGCCTGTATCAAGCAGCACTTACTCTGATTCATTTTCTAGATTGAAAGGACTTCCCTAGCAGAACATTCCTCTGATGGGCTGCCTGGATGAGGACTAAGACAGTTCTTAACATACTCTTTGTTAACTGAAGCCTTTTAGTATTTTTCTTTTGCTCCAAGACAGGTTTTCCAGAATACTTTTTCTCAGAAAATAATCTAATTTTTACACTTCCTTTTTCAAGGTTTACCCCAGAAATGACACATCTCCCAACAGCATTCTTGGCACGTAGAGGAAAACCAAGTGAGTAATATCCTACCTTAGCAAGATCATCCTACATTTTCATTGATCCAGCACACACTTCTCTTGTTTAATGGAACAGCCCACTACAGCCAAGCTTGTGTCAGTGTGCAGGAAAATCAGTTCACTGTGATGATGGTTAAATGTTCTAAGGCCCCAGCCCTCAAATCTGCCCAGATAGACCAGGTTCGTGTTTCTCTACCCTATGCTGCAAACATGGTTCATCCTGCAAGTGGAAACTCTTCTTGGGAACAAAGGTAAGTTTGGCCTTCACAGTGCTCTTTTCCTTGACCTCTTCGTAGGATGAGATCCAGGGCCACAGTTACTTAAAAAGGTCCCATAACTCATGTCCCTTCTGCCTTGACTGGATTAGAGTTGGTGTTTCTTTTCTTTGAATTGCTGTGTTGGGAACAGGAGCAACAAAGGAAAGTCCATCCATGGGTACTGGCAAAGGTCACTGAAGAAGGCTGCGCCCTTCTCAAGCAGTCCAGCTCTCGTCACATGGAGATATTTCAAAAGCAAAAGAACTGCCCAGCACAACACATGAGCATTATGCATATCCCTAACACCAGTTGTGCAGATGTGTTTTATAAGAGACCATGTCAATCTAAAAAGTGAAGTGCTCTGCAAAAATACCATTTTTCTTCTCAAACAAACCTTGTACTTGCTCAAATTCCAGGGACACATCAACAGCCTTTTTCTTTAGTTTTTTTATCAAAAAGCCCATAACCTAAAGACCTCCAGGAGCCTTGCTATGTCATCCTCTATTTCAGACAGTGACTGGTTCAGGACATCAGCTGCCTTGTCCCCATCTTGGTGAAAGGTCTAGAGAGAAAGTCTTATGAGTGGCTGAGGGAACTGGGGTAGTTTAGCCTGGAGAAAAGGGGGCTCAGGAGAGGACTTATTGCTCTACAACTACCTGGAAGGAGGTTGTAGCAAGAGAGGGGTGTCAGTGTCTTCTCCCAAGTAACAAGTGATAAGACAACAGGAAATGATCTCAAGTGCCAGGGGAGCTTTAGATTGGATATTAGGAAAAACTTATTCACTGAAAGGATTATCAAGCACTGGAACAGGCTGCCCAGAGAAGTGGTGGAGTCACCATTCCTGGAGGTATTTAAAAGACACATAGATGTGGTGCTTAGGAACATGGTTTAGTGGTGGACTTGGCAGTGCTAGGTTAGCGGTTGGACTTGATGATCCTAAAGGTCTCTTCCAACCTAAATGATTCTATGATTCTGGGAGTGGACACACTTCTCCTGCAAGCTTGGTGGTTGATGTGTGCGACAGCCTAGGTAGAAAAGATGTCTTATATCGCACCCCCATGCTCTTAAACCATCCTATCTGGAAGTGGATGGGAACCAAAGTCCTCAGACTGAGGGAACGATTCCCTCAGACAATGCCAGTTTGCTCCTTGGCATTTCTTGCATGTACACCCACCAGGCCGAGCCAAATTAAGCTAATAACATGTAAAAGGCTCAAGCAGAGAGAGAGAGAAAAGTTTGGAAGGAAGCAGGTTGGACAATGCTGGTTTCACTGCAGAAGCTTCACATAATTTGCTGGAAAGAGGCCTACTTTGCCTCGGCACTGCCCCCGCCACCAGCCTTCGTCTACCATCTCAATGTGTGTGATTGTGTCATCAGGATCAAAAGAAATCTCATCATCTCCATCTGCAAAAATTGTTCAGAAAAGATTATCACAATGCAAAGATAATCCCAGAAAGAGCTGGTTTTACATCCCTCCCCACCCCAGGAGGAGAATACAGAACAAGCGTTCTGATAACCCTCAGAGTCCATCTCATCGAACCCCCATGAAACAGATCAGATAAAGCAGAGATGGTGCAAGACTCCACAGATGAAAGATGAAGCTTCTGTGTTCCCAAGTCAGGTCTCATTCTGCTTTCCAAGAGGAAGAAATATAAACCACAAAGTCGAAATCTTTTCACCACTGCTGATGGTGTAAGTCACCACCTCCCTGTTGCACCACCTCAGCCAGCTCCCAGTGCCTCTCCCCACTGCCTGGATGGCAAACCCACCTCCTTGGTAATCATAGAGAGCCACTGCGCACGTCCCAGGGCTCTTCACCTCATAACCATTGTCCATTTCCCCTGCAGAAGACAGGATGGGCAGATGAGAAAGAGGCTGAAAGCAGCCATATAGATCTGGTGAGTGCCACCCTCCACCCAGCTGTCAGCCT